ATAATATATATATATATATATATATATATATATATATATATATATATATTGGTTCATCGCCAGAATTGTTGCTACAAAGGAAATTTGATCCGTCGGCAATGTGTAGTTTCAAAGAATAAGTTCAAAGATTTTCGGTTTAACGTCAAGGTGTCACTATAAAAAATGACTTGCCGCCAAGGTGTTGCCGAAGAATCTAGTTCATCATCAAGGTGTGGCTAGAAGAAATAAATAAATTTGATTTGCCGCCAAGGTGTCACCGAAGAATCCGGTTCATCATCAAGGTGTGGCTGGAAGAAATAAATAAATTTGATTTGCCGCCAAGGTGTCACCGAAGAATCCGGTTTTTCATCAAGGTGTCACTGGAAGAAATAAATAAATTTAATTTGCCGCCAAGGTGTTGCTAAAGAATCCGGTTCGTCATCAAGGTGTCGCTGGAAGAAATAAATAAAATTGACTTTCTGCTAAGGCATTGCTGAAGATTCCGGTTCATCACCATGGTGTTGTTGCAACAAATTTTTGACTCACCGTTGAGGTGTCGTTGAAGAAAAAAAATAATAATTCTGCTCGCCGCCATGGTATTGCTGAAAGAGAAATTTAGCTTTCCGCTGAGGTGTTGTTGAAGAAAAAAATTAGGCCCACCCCTAGTGTAGCTGCAAACAATAAAACCATGAAGAATATTAGTGGCTGGGCACCAACATTCAAGGAATGCTTCATCTTTATGGCGATCATATGAAAATAGGGAGGTGAATAGATCACCATATAGTTGTTATTTTGATAGAAAATTTTTCCTTGATAAGGAAGACCGCCTAGCATATATAAAGCTCGAAGGGAAATGGATAGCTCGCCAATAGAACAATGAAGAGTATTAGTGGCTGGCCCCAACATTTAAGGAATACTTCATCTTCATGATGATCATAGAAAAATAGAGAAGCAAATAGAGCACCATATAGTTGCTGTTTTGATAGAAAGTCATGAAAACACGCCAAGACATCTTCTAACCACTCCCAATATAGTTCGGTGTATAGCAATTCAACAGAAAGTTTATAGGGAATACTCCATGATATTCCTCGCCTGAACAGTGACACACAATAGTGAAAACTGGTTTTTTTCAACAACTCTCTCATAAAGTAAAGAATTTAGTATCAAGGCTTCAGAGATAATAGATTCTTCATTAATCTGATCAAGACTAAAGTTGGTTAGTTCGTATGTGGTCGTGCATGTCTAATGAGATAAATAATGTTTGTTGTCAGGATTAGGTATTTGAATATATTTTCAATTGACAAAATTCTCGTTGATGGAAATAAGAAAGGTCTTTTCGAATCCTGAAAAAAAAAAAAAAAAAAAAAAAAAAAAAAAAAAAAAAAAATCATCCAGGAAGCGTGGTGGAGAAGGAAAAATAAATAAATAAATAAAAAAGAAAAAAATAAAAGAAATTCCTCCAGGAAGCGCGGAGGAGGGAAAAAAAAAAAAAAATTCTCCAAGAAGCGTGGAGGAGAGAAAAATAAAATAAAATAAAAATTCCCTCCAGGAAGCGTGGATGAGGGGGAAAAAAAAAAGTTAATTTCCTCCAGGAAGTGTGGAGGAGGAAAAATAAATAAATAAATAAATAAAAATCTCTTTCAGGAAGCGTGGAGGAGAAAAAAAAATATAAAAAATAATAATTTCCTCCAAGAAGCTTGAAAAAAAAAAAGAAAAAAAAAAGAAGAAGAACAGTCATACCTATGTGTTCAAACAGATGCCGCAATCCAACACAATCTTCACAGGCGGTAATCTTACAAGTCCTTCAGAACCGATTAAAATTGATGCCAAACCCTATGACTTGGGTGGTATATATAGGCAAGGGATTTGTATAAATTGGAAAGTAAAATTCCAGTCCAAAGTTGGATTAGAAAGCCAAAAAAAAAAAAAAAGAGTAAAGTTGGATACTTCAAGTCCCACTTGAAAAAGGAGACAAGTCTTGTTAAGCTTGGGACTTGAAGTGGGGACAATTTGTAAACACTAAAATTTTAGTGGACTTTGATTTGGACAAATGGACCCATTAAATATAGGCCTAATGTTTAATTAAGTTATTTAATTGGCCCAAGTTTGGTCCACTTAAATTATTTAATTAAGCTCAGTCCAGATGGTTAAATAAAAAGAATAATTATTCTTAATAAAATATATTTGGAATAATTATTTTTAAGGATAATTATCATAATATATTCGGCTCGGCCCAGTTATGATATTTTCCTTATCAGAGAGGACACGTGTCATCATCCTATGGATCCAAGAAGCCTATAAATAGAGGTCTGGAGGAAGGGAGAAAGGGACACAAAGTCAGAATCAGAAATTTAGAATTCTAGAGAGAAATATAGAAACTCTTATCTCCAACATCCAAACCCAAAAGCGAAGAACACCAAGCATATCAAATCGTGTCGTTCTTCATCAAATTCCACGGTGATCAACAATAAGCACAACCAAACATGTGCCGTTCTTCATCAAATTCCACGGTGATTCAAGATCAAGCCTGTGCAGCCCTTGGATCCAATCAACCAATAGAAAAAGGAGATTTAATCAGAGGATCAGTTCTTTCTTTTGTAAAGAATATTATAGAGGATTGTACCTCAATTTCTCAAATTAATAAAATTATATTATTTGCTCCATATTTTGTTTCTATTGCAGACTTACAAAATTTGTGTGTACAACACACAACGTTACAATTTAAATTTCCCCATTAATGTACAATATGCTAGTGTTTGATGAAGTGAAGCTTAGTGGTGACTCTATACCCCAAGACCTCTCTCCTATTTTCTATTTTCTAGATTGCTCTCTATTTACTTACATTAATCTTTAATTGTATTATAATTTAATTAAACAATCCCCAAGCAATCTTTGATAACTCGACCTACTAATCTGACATTAATTTCCATCACAAATACACATCCGATCCCTTATGACGATCCCTATTCATCCTAGCTATATTTTTAGTTAGAAGTGGTAGTGACATTTCATAAATTTAAACTTGGCCACACTTTTGCAATTTATTGCATCAGCACGACACAACACACCAATTGGCTTATAAGTTGGACTTCTGAAGTAAAATTATAGGCCAACATTATGATATGGGCTTAAGTATAATTTTAGTGGGTAATTATTTATATGGGTTGAGAATAAATCAAATAAAATTTTACTAAACAAGCTTGTTCATGATTGGGCTTAAGCTCAGCTCGTTTGCTTAATGAATGAGCCGAGCTATTCATGAACAGCTCGATTCATTTGCAGCCCTAATCATAGGGTGTTTTTTTGTCTGCAATCCTACAAGTTATATCTAAAAATGACAGTTTAGTTATTTCACATTTAATTATTTTTTTTTATTCAATTATAGAGGGACACTTTAGTCTTTTCAGCATTCAGGTCGTTGTTTACTCCAAAATTGAATGTTAGGGACTTTTTAGAACGTATAGGGGTTATACACTTGATATGAATACCATAAGGATGATTTTGCTTGCGACCCTATAACTAATAATGGAGTGTAAGTGTTTTTTAAGTGTAAATCTTAAAAAGAAATAGTTGTTTAAAAAAATAAAAGAATATAAATGGAGTGTAGAGTTTGAATATTTTTATTCACTTTAAGTAAAGAATAAAAGAATAAGAGTACGTACGTTTGGGATTACTGTTAAAATGATAAAAGTGCTCTTAGTAGTAGAGCTGTCATAAAAATGTTGTTAGCAAAACATAGTTATTCTTGAATCACTTTTAAATTTGTTTGGTAATAATGTTGTTTATAGCACTTTTATTATTAATTTTACTATATTATCCCTACACTAATAAACATGTGCTAATTTCTTAATATTAAATATTTTAAAATTCCATTGAGTTTAATAATTTATGAAGATCAACTTGTATTGGTGTTAATTATTTTTTTATTTTTATTATTATTATTATTATTATTTTTTAATATCATAAATTATGTTTATCATATAGTATTGTTATTTAGTACTAAAATATAAATGAATTAAACATATTTTTACAATTATTAATTCGTTTATATGATATATAATAAAATTTAATACTATAATGCTTTGCAATACAGACAACATTTCATAAAATAAAACTACACACTTCAAATGTTATAAAATCATATTTTTGTTTGGTATTTGTTTGTACTAGTGACGAAATTATATTTATCAAATTAGTTACCTAAAAAAATGAACCTCTGCTCCTAACATAATTTTAAAAGTTACAATTTATAACTTCACTTAAACTGGTATAAATAAAATTATAATTTTAAAAGTTATAAGTGGTAGAGAAACAATCCTAAACACCCACTAATTATACTATAACTAGAATATTAGATATAAAATTTAGATTCAAACATTTCATATACAGTATAGATATATATATATATTTAAACAAAATTTGAAATAAAATGATAAACAGTACAATTTATTATTTTTTTAATAAAATAATTAATTTTAAATTTATAAAAATTCTGTATTAAACACAATAATTTTTTAATTGAATTTAAATTACATTAATTATTATTTAAACTTATAATACAATATAATTAAGCAACTAAATTTTAAACATAGATATACAAAAATAAATTGTATATTAAAAGTATGATCTATTAGTCTTAAAATTTTCTTTGGTAGACTTATTGACATTTCAATGAGAAAAGAAAACTTGATGATAATTTTTTAATGACACTATTTAGCTAGGATCCAGAATTATTTAATTTTTGATAGCCTATGGAACTTAGAAATAAAAAATTACCTGATTTGTAATTTTAAAAAACTTCTTATAAACTCAGAAAATAGAAAACACTTTTCAGATAAGTATAAAAGACTATTTTTTGAAAATAGGCATTTTTATAATTGAATTTTCAAAAAATAATATTTAAAAAGTTGAACCAAAACATAATTTTTTATTTTTTTGAAAAAGAAAATTATTTTCATAATTATTTTCATAATTACAAATAAAGTAAGCCTTCCAAACAGTTCAAACGGAAAGGTAAAGAAAAAGAATTAGAGGCCACAAAAACATATTAACAAAGTTATCTATGGATGGCCGTCTTGGTCGGCCTTTTTTTGTCAGTTTTCCTCTGTTTTATGCTAGTTGCTTGGAGTTTTGGGCCTTGTTTTGTACTCGGATTGTTGGTTTGGTTGAGCTTTTCTCTATTGATTTTGGGTACGTTTCTCTGTTGTCCGATTGGGTTGTTTTGTGGGTTCCTGTTGCTGGTCACGGTTGTGGGTTCTAGAGTTTCCGATCTGGTTGTTTTGTTCTCTCGAATTTCCTATCTAATGATGGGCACGCAACAATTTCTCTGTGTCCAGCATTTCTATTGATTGCAGGAAGCCAAGTCTTGGTGGTCTAGGACTATGACTGTCAATCTTATGGATTCTTGTTCTAGGATTAGTGAGATGGAAAGAGGGCATCAATCGTGGACGGAGACCTTATCGCCGATTTCGTGGTCTGCGGCGGCTACTGTTGAGGGATGGATTTTTTCTGACATTGTAGAAGAATCTGGAAACACACATCCTATGGCTGAGGACGTAGTGGGCTCTTATTGGGCCTCTTTTATTTGGCCGCCAATGGGCTGTCCTAGTAGTAGTGGACCTAGAGTGCTTATTGACGGGCAAAGGGCTGCAGACCTAGATGGGTTAAGAGGACATCAAAAATTTGGGCCAGATTATGGCCAGGTTGCTGGTTGTGTTGGTCCAGTTTCTTAATCCTTTGGAGATGTTGTTCCGGCTGCGATCCCGAATCCTAGTATGGTCCTTGATCTCAGCCTATGACGCCAGTGCCTGTGTAGTATGGTCCTTGATCTCAGCCTATGACGCCAGTGCCTGTGCTACTATTCTATACAGACCGCCATAGGTGGCGCAGGGACAGCTCTACAGTGTCAGTTGGGTCACAGGTAATTTTCAGAATGCTAATTTACGTATTCTTGTTTAGAATTGTAAAGGTTTGGGTAACCCTGCGACTGTAAAACAACTTAAATCTCTCCATCGATTATAGTCTCCGGATATTTTGGCGGTGTTGGAAACTAAGAATCATAGAAATAGAATTGCTCGTATTCAGAAAGTTCTTGGGTGCAAGTGTGATACCCCTCGATTCTAGAGTCACGGATGATCAAGTTCGAGCACAAATCTGAAGGATACCAAATAATTAATACGTAATTGAATACAGAATACAAAAATGAATTAAGGAAATAATTAATAAAGCTGAAAGAATTCTAAACTAAAAATCCTCAAAATAATATAATTAAAATCCAATAATCCAAAACCTCCATTAATGAAACAACTCAGGAATCCATCTAGTGGACCCCTAATAAAATTCCAAACTAAAAAGAAAACAATTGAAACAAAATCTAAAGCAAAACATGGAAAACAGTCCTACATAGTCGGAGGAATGAGTGACTGTATCTGTTTAACATAATCAAGCTCTAAGCCTGGAACTGACGAACATCTGAAAAACAAGAGAGTGGGTTAGGCCCACATGCAAGTTCTATCCTACTACAATCCATATAGAAACCCGATACGCAGATACATTCTAGATAACTCACAATAACTAAAGTAGTCTATATATGTATGAGTACACACTATAGGACGCTCACTAGCCCAATAGGTCTGTCTCAGCCTGAGTAGAGATATTATGCAAATCGCACATAACGTGGTCATGTGTACCTAGACCTACCAAGGAACAACAACTATGTCCAGTTATCCATCCTAGGCGATATACGCACCCTCACTATGATTCTAAGACTTAAGCTCATATCACAGCACCATAATTATAGATATATAAAGTTCGTATAAGCCTAATATAAAATATCATCCATCTGATACAGTAGCCTGACATATGTACAAAAATCCATCCAGAAACCAAAGTATGTCATTCAATGGTTTGTTGACCTGACACCAATATGAGTAGGACTTAATCTTTATGGTTAATCCATACCTCAATTCAGATTAGGTAGGACTTAGTGTTTAAACTAATCCATCCCTAGTATGCCACTGTCCCATACCAGTGCATACAATCCTCCAAATAGTATAAATGATAAAATAATAATAAATACTCATCAATCATACTCTAAAACATGCATAAATAAAGTTTAATACATATATGACCATATTAAGCATTCATTATAAGACCTAAAAATCACGTTCCAATCTTGTAAATTGCTAAGATACAGGTAATCATTTAAATCCTCCAAATAATCCATAAATTTATACAGTTTACAACAAATTAATTATCAATTTAATTCAATCTATGCATAGTTAATTGTAGATAATCCACTATACTTACAACACTATTGAAATATGATTAAACATTATTAACTCATATACTAAAGATTTGCTAAGTTTTAGTAAGTAAATAAATCAACAAAACAATATTCAACATGCAGGCTTTTCTTTAACTTCATGTTGCTTCATCCCTTAATACATTAATGTAATAATGTTTCCCAGTATTTTTATAGGTCCATAGTAGTTATTTAAATCAGTTAGTGCAATTTAAAAAGCTTAAGAAAGCCCCAGACAGCCCAAACAGACCATAAAAACACTTTCTGTGTGTTTCAAGGCGAGAGCAGGCTTTCAAAAGTTGAGAGCCTACTCCAAACACATAGGAGCCAGCTCCCCACCCTTGGGAGCCGGCTCTAAGGAGCTAGGAGCCAGCTCCCTCCATGTGGTGGGAGCTGGCTCTGACATTGAGGGAGCTGGCTCCCTCCTTTAGGGAGCCGGCTCTCTCTCCCTTAATAGTCGTAGTTCGATTTTCGTTCGTCTTCTTCGCCTCCGGTGATGTTCAGAGTCTCTGCAATGTTTTTATTAAGCTTTATAGGGTTCAGTTAATGCCTCAGATTATCTACAAACTCGTTGACAACCAGTACGCATCGTTAACAAGAATTAAACACAAACTGAAACAATTTGTTCATTAAAGCAAATTCAGTTAATCAACTCAATAAAACTGTTTACAGTCTGAATTAACATGCATATAAGATATGTTTTAACATTAATTTAAACCCTGGAGCCTACCTAGGCATGCACAGAACACAGGTTTAAGGGAAGGAGTTAGAATAAGAACTTGCCTTTAGGTTTCAGTTCAAAACCTTAAACCGTTTGCTCTAGTAACTCCGGCGACCTTAATTGCTTTCACTGACCCCTGTTGCTCCTGGTTCAACCCACGAGCAAGCGTCAACGATCCTTTCTTGGTTCACTCTTTGTTCGTGGCAAAAACCCCTAACTCTTTCTCTCTGTTTTTCCTCTCAAGCTCTCTTTGTTTCTCTCTACCTCAAGTTACGGGAAAAAGGTTCTAAAACTCTTATAGACACAAAACGATATATATATAGGCTTCTCTCATGACCTAATATTTAACTATACTTAGAGAAGGAAACCGAAACTAAAAATTAAAATAGTAAAACCCTTTCTCTAAGTAGGCTAACCCACGATTTCATAAAACATAAAACCCTAACTTCACATTATAAATAATAACACTTATTAAATCCAATTAATTCATTTAAATAAACTAATAAACCCTTTAAATAATTAAAACTAATTTAATCCAATTAAAGAAAATAAAAATGACAATTAAATTAACAATTAACCTTTAATCCAATTAAAGAAAATAAAAATAAAATTAAATTAACAATTAAACAAACAATTCAATTAAAACAAACAATTAATCAATTAATTAAAATAAATAGGCAACTAAACAAATAAACAAATAAAAATGTAATAAAATAAAACTTAAAATGCCGAGACTATCCTTTTAAAATTTAAGGGTATTACTTTCTTCCCCCTAACAAAAGGAATTCTGTCCTCGGAATTCGCTCTTACCTTATTCCAATATTTCAGGAAACGGTGAGCGAAGGACATCCTCCCATTCCCAAGTAGACACAGCCTCATTGTGGTGACTTCATTGAACATGCACCAAAGGAATAACCTTATTACGAAGAGTTTGATCCCAACGGTCGACAATAAGACACGGTGGCTCCAAATATGTTGCATCCGGCTGCAACTCAATCTCCCCAACATCGATATGCTGATATCGATCCTCATCTCGTAGAAATTTTCGCAACATGGAAACATGGAACACATTGTGTACGCGATCCAAATTATCCAGAAATGCCAACCGATAAGCGACAGCTCCAACGCGATCCGTAATCATGAATGGACCAACAAACCGTGGGGACAGCTTCCCTTTCTTCCCAAAGCGCATTACTCCTTTCATAGGAGATACTTTGAGTAGAACCTGATCCCCAACCTGAAACTCCAAAGCACGAGTGCGACGATCGGTATAACTCTTCTGCCAACTCTGGGTAGTGCGCATGCGATCCCGAATACGAGTAATCTTTTTAGAACTATCCTTAATAAACTCAAGACCTAAAAATCTGCTCTCTCCAACCTCCATCCAACAAATAGGAGATCGACACAGTCGGCCATATAATGCCTCAAACAGTACCATACCAATAGTCTTCTCGAAACTATTGTTATATGCAAACTCCACAAGTGAAAAATAATTCTCCCAGTGGCCCTTGAAATCAAGAACATACGAACGAAGCATATCCTCCATGATTTGATTAACTCTTTCAGTCTGTCCATCAGTTTGAGGATGATAAGCAATGCTAAGATGTAACTCTGTACCCAAAGCCTGCTGAAAAATCTTCCAAAATCCTGACACAAAGCTCGAATCGCTGTCCGATATAATAGACAACGGAATGCCATGTAACTTCATAATTTCTGAAATGTAAAGTCTCACCAACTGCTCCGAAGTGAAGTCAGTGCGAATAGGTAAGAAATGAGCTGATTTAGTCAATCTACCAACGATGACCCAAATGGAATTGTGTTCCTTAAAAGAATTAGGCAATCCCTTCACGAAATCCATAAATGTGCTCTCCTATTTCCACTCTGGTATCGGTAGTGGCTGTAGAGCTCCTGGTGGCCTCTGATGATCAATCTTGACCATCTGACAAGTACTACATCGAGAGACAAAAATAGCAATGTCTTTTCTTATACCTGCCCATAAAAATTGCCACTTCATATCCTGATACATTTTGTTTCCTCCTGGATGAACAGAAAACTCAGAGTGGTGAGTCTCAGTCATCACATCCTTCCCCAAATCGTCCGCAGAAGGTACTACTAAACGTCCCTTGTACCTCAAACCTCCATCAGTCCCAACATAGTAAAATGGGACCTCCCCAGAAGTGATCTTTGTAACTTTGTCAATGCACTGCTGATCCGTGAGTTACACCTTCAAAACTTTGTGAATAATAGAAGGTGTAACTACCATGCAAGCTATGAAAGCATCCGACAACTCATCCACCGTCTTTAAAGCATTCCACTCAGTGGTGAATAAAGTAGAAAGACTAGTTGCGGGTCGGGGACTTAGTGCATCTGCCACCACATTCGCTTTCCCTGGATGGTACTGTATAGAGAAAAGATAGTCTTTCACAAACTCCAACCATCAGCGCTGTCTCATATTCAACTCTCGCTGAGTGAACAAATACTGTAGACTCTTATGATCACTAAATAACCTGAAGGATTCTCCCAACAGATAATGCCTCCAAATGCGTAAAGCAAAAACCACAACAGCTAACTCCAAATCATGTGTTGGATAATTAAGCTTATGAGGCTTAAGCTTTTGAGATCTATATGAAATCGGTCGCTCTTCTTACACCAAAACACATCCAAGACCTTACAAAGAAGCATCTGTACAGATTAGATACTCAATCTCGCTCTGTGGAGTAAACAGAACCGATGCAGAAGTCAACTTGCGCTTTAGCTCATCAAAAGGTTTCTGACAGTGTTCATCCCACACGAACCGTACACCCTTTTTAATCAGGTGAGTGAGTGGTCCCGCTATCTTTGAGAACCCCTGGATGAATCTACAATAATATCTGGCCAATCCGAGGAAACTCCGAAT